TCAGCTTCTTAGGTATTCTTCGAAAGTAGAAAGGTAGGTGTCCTTGATAGGAATGAGAATTTAATGGAAATTTATTGGAAAGTCATAGTCCCATTTTACATTAATAAACTCCAATTTAGTCATTAAGTGATTTTTATTAGTGTGATTGATCTCAACAGTTCTGATCATTTTTGGGTGTATGGTGATGATTCTGTTTCAGGCCCTGAAACACTGAGGACTAGTCTCTTTGTCATGGCGACTCAGCTTTGAAGAGTTGCCCCGCATGTCCCTGCCCATCTAACCATTGGCCAGCTTGTGATAAAATTCCTTGACATTACCCTGAAACCATGAAAAAGTCTTGCATATTTCTAATTGCTTTTCTTTTTGTATTGTAAAAACAGGGACCATATAGAATGCTTTTACTCATTTTAATAATTGTCACTGTAATCAGATTGGCTGGTATCTTGTAGAAACTAGGGCTATTTCAGAATTTGAAATTAAGAATTTTTTTGACTCACAGTTTGTACTTAATTACTATATTGTGAGTCTGCCACTCCTTTCTAGTCTTCTAACTCAGAAAGAAAGGCTTTCTGCTTAAACTCCTTCAGCTTCTTGTCCCATTCACAGAGCTACTGGTATTCATCCTTGGTCTCTGTCTGTCTCTGCAGGCAAAGTGTACCTTTCTCTCCAGGGGTGACCCCTCTGCTTCCATCCCTTCTGACTTCTTTTAGTGATTTCAATATATCAATTGGGAAATCTTTATCTCCCATCTCCTTTGCCTGCTGAATTCCACTGCCCCCCAAATATATGTGTTCAAGTCCCATCATTTTAAGAATAAAAGCTCTCTTCCTATATAATGTCTCATTTCTTGCCTCTTTTCACAGAGAAGTTTCTTGAAAAAGAGTCTGTATTATCTCAGTTGTCTCAGTGTCTGTTTAGTTTTTATACTGTGTAATCTGACTTTGAGCTAAATAATTTCATTGAAACTGCGCTATCCATGTTACCACTGAGTTTTTAATTGTCAAATTATGAGGTCCCCTTTTCATTTCTATCCTTCGTTGATCTCTGATCATGTATACATTTAATGTGGTTGTTGATTCTTATCCTTGAAATTTGATTAACTTGATTTTTCTTTGACTTCTGTAATGCCTCTTCCTTCTGATTTACTTCTTTTTTTTTTTTTGAGACAGAGTCTCGCTGTGTTGCCCAGGCTAGAGTGCCGTGGCGTCATCCTCGCTCACAGCAACCTCAAACTCCTGGGCTCAAGCGATCCTCCTGCCTCAGCCTCCCGAGTAGCAGGGACTACAGGCATGCG